AAAAAAAAAAAAAAAAAAAAAAAAAAAAAGGCACTTGACAGTAAGTCTGGACACAAAATGACTGCTATTAGGATCTGGATATGGGAATGAATGTTTTGGTCCTGCATTCAGGTTGGTGTTACCTGAGTAGCTGCATTTATGGATTCAATGTACATGGTTCGTTTACTATTCAGACTTGACAGGTCAGGTCAAGGTCATTTGTAGTAATCACTCATACAGGATAGTAAGAGGGCTCTCTTGTCAAGAATTTTTTTTTGTGCTAATAACTAACACATCAAGTTCATCACATACTTTAATTGCTATCTCAGAAAATGCAGGACTAAAACTTATCCCCAATGTTGTGTACCAAAGGTGCTCAATAAATCTGCTAAACAAAATTAAATCACTAGTCATTCTGGAATTTGAAAAAAACTTGAGAATTTGTATGTTAGATAGCAAGTTACCAGTATCTCATGAATATTAATTTTATTGGAAATGAGAAGCTGCTTTTCACTGGGACTTCACATCTTCAAATAATCTGGTATGTGCTGTATATATGAAAACATAAAATTATTCTGTATTGTCATTACATCATGGTTAAGTGAGAATCCTAATTTTTTCAATTAAAGAGTGAACTTGCTGATGAATTCCTAAGCCTTTTTTACATTCCAAAAAGAGTTTACGAGTTATTACAAGTAAAATTCATTAGTAATTGTAAAAGAAAGAAAAAAACCTTCAATAAATATTATCAGTACTTCCTAAAGTTAATTATGAATTCTTTAAAACAGCAGATAAGCGGAGGAGACTGCCAATCTGAACAAAAAGCCTGTCTGGCCTGCCGTTTGTCTCCTCTTTGAACATAATCACTGATTCAAATAGATGTTATCAGCTTCATGGAACTTCAAAGCCTTCAGAAGGAAAATACAATTTGATGAAACCTCCCTCCTAAAAATAAAATATGTAGAATATTCTTCAAGGCTACCTGCCTCTGTTACTTGGTGAATTTTTAATCGCATGTCCAGGTGAAAGACTATTTTTTCAAACTCCACCTACTACCTTGGACTCATGCCAAGTAAGTTATAAGCAGGCGCATTTATCTCTGTCGCCTGGGAGGCTAAAGGAGAGCTGTCATGTTGGGGTAATAGCACCTTTCTACCTTTTATTCAATAGTGATATGGATAGTGGACTTTTCTTAAATTACACTGTGAAGAATTATAGGAACACAGTAGCAATTTCTGTTATACTTAAGCAGGCAAATTTCTCTCCACCACATAATTTACAGAACTCAAATTCAATAAAACATTACATGATGGTCCATTACTGTTATCAGTTTTGAATAATCCATCTTCATTCTACATTTTACTGGAAAATAAAGTGTGCCAAAGACACAAGGAGGGGGGAGAAAAAAAGAAAAAAAGCTACAGAATAGGCTCAGAGTTAAACTCTGGGTTTTATTTAAAGAAAAAAAAGGCACTAAAGAATATATTTTCTTCTATCACAACCTTTAAATAGCAATAATACAGAGAAGTGAATTGAAAAGTGTAAGTCTAGAGGCTTTAGCAATTATTTTTAGCCATAGGTTTCCATTAAAAAGACATCAAGTAGGCATAACTGAATGAATGACATATGCTAAAAGCTGGTATCTTCAGTAGCAATTAAAGAACATATGCCCATCAATTCAGAAGGGGAAGAAATCTTTAAAACAAGTAATTATATAAATTTCAACATAAATTTTCAGAAAAAGTAGACTTTTTGTTTTAAGTAGTCATGTGTGAAAGCCTTAAGAAAGGGGTATGTTTTAATTTAGGAGAACCAATTAAGATGATGAGAAAATTCTCTAATGAAGAGTTAAAACATGAGATCCAGGATTTTAAAGTTATACAGAGCTATCAATGACTAAGATATTCTCAACTCACAACAGCATTAGCTATTATATTAAAATGTTTTAACATACTGTTCGTTTATTGGGTACCAATGTCTTTATCTGATCATATAACTTTGCATTTGTATGTACATATTTTACATTAATTTTTTAAACTTGGAGTTGAAAATGCACATTGTAGTAAGTGCACACAAATGTGTGATGTGTGATTTAACTCTGAAGAGCTTGTCTATACATATGCATTAGCATGTGTATTTTCGTACTCCGCACTCACACTATACTCTCACTCTGCACCTGCTTTTATTGAAATGCATACACTTTGAAATAAACACACTACATGCATTCATATGAATGTATAATCATTAGAATAAATGCAGCTGTGTGCGTGTGCAGTTTTTAAGTATGACCACCAAAAATACATACATGCTTGCATGTTCAAAAGCTAGTACCCCAAAAGTTAAATATACATAGAAAACTACTCTTATCTATAAATCAAACAGTTTCAAATATGTCCCAACATTGCCTTTGACTGAGGAGTACCCATTACCAACATAAAGGTTTAAAACCAAATTCCTCTATCACCCAGGGCTCCAAATAATTTTGGGGTAATGAGTTTTTCTGAATTGGCTATTAATAATAGAGAGACTGGTATCAAGATGTACCAGGTTTTTATTCTGCTCTCACCCTCAGAAAATGAAGTCACCATTTTTGATATTAACCATAAGGTATAACTATCTTTTCAAAGAGATTAATATGGTATAAAGAGAGAATTCTGCCTTTTTTGCAGTTACATATCCGACAGATAACCATGAAATCTGTCAATGTAGGAGCCAAAGACAGAACAAATAATCAACTCTATAGAGTAATGGTGTGATATCATAACCCAAGAGAAGAAAACTGTACCAATGGGTGCTGACATCACCCTATAATCCTCAGCTGGACTGTCTTGTCATTCTTCACTATATAAATACACTTTCTTTAGTGCTTTAAGAAGTAACAATGTGTTCAATTTTTAAAACACTTATTATAAAATCTTCATGTCATTTTTGTCTGTCAGTATTGCCTTTGTGGGCCTTTAATTCAACAACCATTGCCTTTTCTGTAGAGACTTGTCTATCTTTTGCCCAGTACTCTCTGAGAACTACTAGCAGTTACTTGTATTTATAAAAATAAAGAATGCCGCCAGAAACAGGAGTATCTAAAGTTGACTTTTGCCTCATTCATTCATTCTTATTTTTAAAATAATTACTTCCCAACTGAATATGTGTCATATTAAATTTACTAGCTAATAACATTTTTTAAGTTGTTAAATATAATAGTAGGTAAAACCATATGATTTTAACTTCAGACGTAACTTTCTGCAACCTTCCTTTTAAAAACAGAAAAATGATGTGCAAAAAACAAAAAGAAACTGAAAACAAACACTAAGTTAAAGGCTTTGTCAATCCAGTTAAGGCAAGACAAAAATAAGTCACAGCTGGGATTCTCCTAGGTATGGAAATCCTGCCAACAAGGAATATTAGATTATTTCTGTACCAGAATTTTATTCTTATAATCATGTAATAAATAAAATAACCTAAATATGAAGGAAAGTGTAAGGTCCTCCCAAAACTTCAACATAAGTAACAGTGATAAAACAAAGTTGAAAGGACATAATGTCCTCTTGCTAATCAAAGTTACATATTCTTTTGGTATTCTTTTGGTATTTGCTGGGGGAGGGGCTTGGCCAAAAATAAATACTACGTATAATCATACTAGTTTCCAAAAAAATCTCATTCAATTTAATAGAATCAATTCCTTCATGACTTTTCAAGGATCTATATTTTAGGCCTTCTCATATCCTCTATCACCCTTTCTAACCACATTCCTTACTGATGATATCTTCACAGGAATTGGCCCAGGTGTGAATCCAAGGGGTACATGCAACTATCAGTGCAGTGAGATGTCTGTAAACTAAGGCCTGCAGGCTAAACCTACCCCAAGTCCTGTTTGGTAGTTTTAATGAACCACCACAACATCCACACACATTTATTTATTGTCTGTGGCTGCTTAACACTCCACAAAGTCACAGAGGTCTTATGGCCCTCAAAGCCTGACATATTTACTATCTTTTTAAAGGTTTGCTGATCTCTGGTCTAAAGAATGAAGTATGGACGAACAACAATATGAAAAGCTAAGGAATACATAAAGTTAATAATTATGTGTCTATATATAAAAACACACACACATCTAAATGGCTGCACAAACAGGCAGAAATTGCTACTGAGTCTCACAATGTCTTAGAAAAAAAACAGTAGTAGAGGAATTTCAATAGGACGCATTTATATACCCATGTTGGGTACAGGTGGGGGTAACATGAGACAAACAGTGGACTGGAAGCCTGGAGTCCTATCAATGGACTTGACCAAGTCATGAAACTCGGCACCACCAGGAGCAGACGGTATGACCACATGAAGAGGAGGATAAAATATTATTACTGAATAAAAGAAAAAAGTATTAATAAAGACAGGGCTAAAGAAAGAAGAGAGAATGAGAGAGAGAAAGGAACCATTTACAAGAGAACAAAACTGACCTGAGTTCTGTTAAAAGCCACACGTGCAAACACTGCCTGGGAGATTCCTGCTCGTTTCAGTTCATCACGTACCCACTGGTAGATTTCGGAAGACACCTCCGTGTTGGTTGAAACCTGTTGCTCCAAAGGCTTATTTATAGATCTACTGACAGGGGGAGGGTGGTTCAAGTATTGTTGGTTTAAGGACTGCTGGGCTAAAAGTCTATTCACTGCATACTGCTGGTTCAGCAGCTGAGCCATCACCAACTGCTGGTTGACCAGTTGAGGACTGATGGGCGTTGACACAAGCCCAGGGTGCAGGTTCGGAAGAGGGGTCCGGACAGAGGGCTGGCTGCCGTGGGAGAGCTGTGCGGGGGATGGGGGCTGCTCGGCCGTGTTCCCTGGGACCGGCTGCTGGCCAAAGTTGACATGATTGGCACTTTGCTGGGATAGCTCAGAAAGACTATCCATTTCGACTAAAGTAGACAAAAAAGTAAAATCATGTTACACCAACAATAATGCATTAGTTTAATTGACAAGGATCTCTGGTCATTTCCTAAATAGAGACAGTGGCACAGGACATATGGGAGATCCTACTGAACTGAGAGCTTTTCAATAGGGAACTCAACCAGCTGTGTTTCTCCTATACTGTTCTACACAATTCCACAAACCTGGAAAGTGGAACAACACTTCTGATACAATTTTATAATGTGGTTTATGTTTAAGACATAAAATCAATTATTTTAAAATTCTACATGACAAATTTTGGGGTCAAACTATTACTCACTTTCACTTACTACCCCAAGAAGGTTTATTCATTTTAAAATAGCTTCTAGAAAGTACCATTTGCTTAAAGGCAACCAAAAAGAGTGAGCTAAGAAATATGATCTGCAACTAAAGAAAAAAATATACAAGTATTTTCTCATGACATATATTATTAACTACTATTACTGTAGACAAAGGGTTTGAAAGAAAAAAGAAGGCATCAATGTTATTATCTACATTCAGTTTTAACCTAGCCATAAAGAATCAATGCAATAAATAATAAGTGGTGATAATGATAACAACTCACTACATACTGAACACTGTGCTGAGTATGATAACAACTCAGTGCATACTGAACACTGTGCTGAGTATCTTACATGGCTTGTTTCACTTAATTCTAATTACCATGGGTGGTAGATATATCTGCAAATATTTCTTGTAATCAAGTAAATGATTTATTGTACTGCAAGCCAGTATACCCAGTGTTGCTAGGACTGAGTGTTTCTTAAAGAACCTGTGGCTATCACCAGATGCTAAAGACAATCTTTCAAGGAAGGGGCAGGAATCGTTCTGGTACATTGGTAATACTGTCACAATTTTATAATTTATAACCACCTACCCAGGACGAATGTACCTCCCTTGGCTAGATCCCTAACGCACACTGGCTGAGAGTCAGCTGCAAGGGTGTCAAACACGTTGCTGTTGTAAGGAAAAGCCTGGTTTGATGCTCTTGACTGGAAAGGCCGAGCATGGCACTGTATGTAAATAGATGAGTCTTTCCAAACGGCATACCATATTTCCCATGTATAGACTTTGGCTTTATTTTAATCATCATTTCACTTTTTATTAAATATTCAGATTTTATATTTAGAGGAACTCACATATTGCTATAATCAGTGATATATGCAAAATATAACTAAGAATTGGGGAAGAAACCTTCCATTTCTACCAGGGATATCAGCCCAAGTGGGCCATTCACAGGGAATAGTAATTCAAGCAATTATTCCAAAAATGATGCATTGTCTTCATTACAGCTCTAAGCTATAAAAGGCAAAGAATCTGTTTTGGTAGATGGATGGTTTTGCTTCAAATATTAAAAGCTAAAATATGCTCAAAATTCAGGTTCTCTTGTCTCTTACACTCTTTAGGAAATGTTATTATTGCTGTTGTTATTAAATCAATGTAATGAAAGTAAACAGAAATAGATTTAAAACAGGTCATAAGCTATGCATTTTAAACATCCTATTCCTATATTATTTTAAAATATATTATTTGGAAGGTAAAAGTATGTGACAGAAAACATTAATAGAAATTAAACATTAACCATAATCACATTGTTTGCTTTTATGCACACTAACAAACTCAATAGGGAGAAAATGTCATAATCTAAATACATAGGTGCCACACACAACTTTTATCTGTCACTCTACACTGCAGACAAATTTAATGTATTTCCTGCGTAACAGATACTGACCTAAAGTTGCATGTTAAGACAGGATGCTATATGGGAATTGAAAGTTTACCAATGATGCAATGACTTTTGTGATATGAATGGTAAACAGTATGCTTACCAGAATGCCTGCCTAGAGGGACTGGGGATTAGAGCTATAAAAATCACTTGGTCTCAACTGTGGAAACAAACACAATTTAATGTCCTTAAAAATTGGGTATAAATAGGCACTTTCTCTCAACACCAAAAAACATAAAAGCATGATTTATCTGAGAGAAATCACGGCTAATGTTAGTTATTCAAGGCCTGGTTAGGTCTTCACTGAGATGTTAAAAAATGACAGCTCCCCTCCTCACGCCTCGATTTCCTGCATGTCTGACAACCAAGTCAGTTTGGCTGATTTAAACACAAACATTTATTGAATTTAATTATCTCATTATACTCATACTCACTCCCCACTCTCAAAGAAACATTCTAAATTGATCTCTAATTGGGCAATCACAAGACCTGGCTTTAGATGTGACTTTGATAAACCCTCAAATGACACATAATGGTATATAGCCACCGCTGCAATGGTTTTTTGCTTACCCATCATATCTTTTGTCTTCTTGAAATGTTTGTACCACCTTCCAAATTCTTGACATTTTGCTGCTGAGACATTTGCATAGTAAGTGCTGTTCACAATGGAAGAAATCATACTCTGCATGAAGACGGGGGGACATATTTTTAATACATAGTGGCACAAGATGGAACACAGAAATGATTTCAACTGAAGAAACTTTTTTTTTAATCAACTGAGTACAAATACATTTTTGTTTCACACTTTAGCCTAAAGCCTCAACTTCTTAAAATTCATTAAAGTAGATCATCAAATGCTTACTTAAGTAGAAAGCAATGACCCACTGAGAGTGGCATAAAGCTATCAAACCCACAGGTTTTGCTCCAGTATTTATAGAACCTCCATCAATGGCATCTATTCCTAGACTGACAAACTTTCACTGATTCCAATAAATCCAAATACATGATGACTTATGACTGCAGTTCACAAATAAACACTACTTGGAGGTTTTTAGTGATCGTGCTCCACATTCTTGCTACTCAAAGTATGGCTGAGGGACCAGTAACATGGGAGCTTCTTGGAAATTCACGACCTCAGATCTAGTCAGTCAGCACCTATGTTTTACCAAGATCCCTGAGGGATTTGAGTATTCATTAAAGTTTGAGAAATACCACTTGCACCTTCAACTACTATTATTTGGGTTTCAATTGGAGGTGCATTAACTGCATCAACCTGTTCAAAGGCTGATGACCACATTCAAGGAGAAAAGAAGCTATAATAGAGATCCTCTATTAAAAGAAAAAACAATTCTGTACTCTCATTGTACTGCCAGCTTCATCTATAGTAAAGCTTGAGTTCTGAATTTCAAACTAACCATAAAATATTTTAATGTACTTTAAATGCTTACTAAATTTCTCAAGGATCCACACATACAAAAAATGGCCTATTTTGTCACTTGTCTTTATCCTCCTTTTAACAAAAGTTCTGAAAACAGAGTCAACAGTTTAACACAAAAAAATGAGGACAAATCTTGGTGTATTACCAGTTTTTATTTCTAACACATTTTCTACAAAGAAAAGTGTTTCCCCCTCCCCCAGCAAATCTTGGTTATGGTAATTTCAGTGACTTACTTCATTTATTTTTAACCATAACACCCATATTCTCCAGTTGGGGCTAACTTAATTTCCAGTTGAGACTCAGGAATAACTAGACTTCGCAGTACCGAGCTCTCCCACTCCTATGTGTAGACACGTGAGAACTTTCTTGCATTTCAGACTTCAGTTGGTCTGTGGTGAAACAGTTTACAGAGGCAGCATTGTTTGGGAAGCAGTGAGCAACCAGAGAAGCCAGTTTAGGGACAAAAGTATTTTTAAATCAGTATCTTCTTTGAGCTATTGCTAATTTAAAACTCTCTTGGTTATTATTGATTCTCCTGACATCCAATATCAGCGTTAATTTTGTGACATGCACACATTCCTGTAATATGTAAATCTGAGGCTCTTTGAAGAGCTTGCAGTGCAGGTTAGGCTAGAGTTGCATTATTTATGTAAAACACAGCTTACCTTTCCTAAGAAGCACTGCGGTATCTTTCTTTTTTTTGACACTTTCTACTTTATGGTCATTTTCACATTTTATTTCTCTAAAAAGACATTCTTAATGTGCTCCTAATTCTCTGCTATTACTCCAGTAGCTTGCAATTTTACTAAGAGCCTCCCTCAGCAAGAGTACAAAAAGATACTTAGCAAGGTTGCCAAAACCAGAGCCAGAAGATTACCTGATCAGTTAACAATCCGTCAGCTTCAATCACACTTACTCTATTGTAATAATGGATCAATAAAGTCAGACACTAATAAAGCTGCTGAGATTACTGATGGATAATGGTGATTCTGTAAACGGATGACAGCTGATATTCTTCCACTTTGGTCCAATTTTTTAAAAATTATTACTCTTTGAAAGAAGCTTCAGACTTACAGAAGCTCAGAGCGGGCGCTGGAGCCCACCAGCCAGTCCAGCTGCGGATTGCAGAGGGTCACTCTTAATGACTCCAATCACCGTCGAGTGTGGAATGCTCTCTCTGCGCCATGTGCCTGAGCACCTCATCTCATCTACTGCTGAGAGTAGCTCTCTAGGTTGGTTACACTTACTCCCCATCTTGCAGAAGAAGCTGGAGGTCATAGTGGTTGGATAGGGCACCCAAGTCTGTGCAGAGCTGGGGTACACACCTGGCTTGGGGAACCCCAAAGCCAACAACTCTCCCCCTGCATGCTTTTATGTGACAGACCGGTATATTTTCAAATATTTATTTAAGATGATTTTTAATCATATAAGCATAATTGGTATAAAAATTTAAAATAAATCCTCACACTTCTCAGAAAAAAATAATTATTACTCTTTATCTCAAGACATTCTGGCAGTTTCTTAAATGTTAATATAATAGTACATTTAAGTTTTAGCTGTAGTTTATAACTTAATTCTCAGAAATAATGAAATGCTTAAATTTTGCTAAGATTTCTGAAAAACATCCAGTCTACCTCAGTTTGCCAACAGTTCTATATATGAAACAATCTTTGCTGCACACCTACCAAGTGCCTGGCTAGTAAGGGGATACAAAGGCAGGTAAGACAGAGCCTTGGCCTATGAGAAGTGTACCACCTATTAGGGAGACAGATATGTAAATAGATTTTTGATTTAATGTGATTTAGTAGACAAATAGCAGAAAATATATGGAGGCTAAAAAGAAGAATACATAGAGTGCAGGGGAAAAAATATGAAATAGTTTTTATAAAACTAGAGCCCATATGTAAGAGTGCTATGTAGTTATTATCCATATGTAGAAAATAATATCCATATATGCATGATCACTGAAGCTTCCTCCTGCCCTTGTTTAACCCTAAAGCATTAGGCTCTGTCCTTAAGTGACTTTCTGAATGCTCTCTACTCTATCAAGTTGTATGTGCTTAGGGAACTCTGATTAATGTAAATATTAGCCTTAACAAGACATACATCAAAAGGCTGAGCCACAGGTTATGACACATGCCAAAGCACCTTTTTTGGTTATCTTTCTGAGCTTTTAGGGGGCTAAGAAATATTCCATAATTTCGGGTAACTTGGGGTCACCTGTGTTTTTATTGGAACAATATACAGTAATCTGTAAAACTAAATTGCTCACATAGCCACTGCACAAGGCTTTTCTTTTATCTTGTGGTAAAAATCCCTACTGAGGGCTAAAGCTTGCCTGGACATCAGTTCCAAGGCAGAGAAGACAAATTTCAGGATCTTTTGGGATACGTGGTAATTCAAAGATCAGTGGTGTGTGTTAAACTTGGAAAATCATAAAGAAATACCTATTGTTTTGATAACAAATAACAGAAAGTCAAAATTGGTAATATTTTCCTAGGGCATGGGATGTATAGGAGCAGGTGGACTAAGAACTACATTTTGAGGAGAGAGGCTTGGGATTCTTAAGTTAATCAAAATGAGACGTTGGTTTAAAAAGGTCACACTAAGCTGTGAGTTCATGCAGGTCTGTGGTTCCGTATTATTTTTCAGCCCAAATGCCTGGTGTATATTAAATACACATTACATTGTTCATTTGATGAAAGAGAATCAGCTAAATCTACGTTCAAGCCCAGGATGTGTCACATGCCAGTAGGTGTGACCTTGGTCAAATTAACCACTCTATCACAATTTCCTGCACTAAAGGGGGATGCCAGCAGCACTCACCTCACGACGCTGTTCTGGGAATCCACTCATTCAGGCATTTTCCCTCATTCATGCAACATACACCTACTGAACTTCTACTATGTGCCAAGCATTGGGCAATAAAAATATTCACCAGAAAAATGACTTGAGGAGACATACTATCTACACTAAGGCAATAAATAAAATAATGAATGTGATGCAATTAACAGAGCCTGGAATATACCAAGTATGGACTTAAGAGATACTAATTACTATGAAAGCCCTCTGCCTCCTCTTAAATGGCTTTTATTATAGGATCACATTTCAGATCAGTTGAAAGAGTATGCTTTCGATAACAGAGGAGTATCTGGTAAAATTTTCAAATGAAATATTTTAAGCCAAATCAATTTTCTTATGCAGAATGAAGAGTAGACTAATTAAATTATGAAGTTACAAGTCGGATCAGGAGATCACAAGAAAAACACCAAAGAAAAAGAACATATCCATTTGTTGCAATATTCCAATTGGGTGGTATATCTTCTGGAGCTGGCTTGCAAATGGCAGCTGACATCAGGAGGATTTACATCCTTCCCTGACTTGGCTCATCCTTCAGGATACATTTCTGATATCCCCACGTCTAGGAGGCCTTTCCTGACTTCCCTGACATCCCACACACTGAACCACTAAAGCAGTCATCATGCTGTTTATTGTCTACCAGGCTGTGAGCCTTGGCTCTTATCTCCTGCTATCCTGAACTGATCACATACAGAGCTGGGTGCCTATCAGTTGATCAATAAAAGCTCACTGAAATAAGCTATGACTGCAGGCTACCAGAAACCCCCCACCCCTTTTTTTTGCTCTTACAGGTCAAAGGTAATGGCACTTAAATTGTCACATACATCTTTTAAATGTATCACTTTTAGCTGTCATGATAGACTTCATAGTTTGAAGAACCTTCATTAATTTGCAAGAGATCCCTTTCTAGGTTTTTCAAAGTACATCCACACCGACATCGAAAGTCGCAGGCTCAGTGGCTGTGTTACTCCAGTTCTCTCTCCGTGTCTATTTATACGAGTTCTCTGAAACACTTTGAAAAAGGCACTACTAGTACCACAAGTTTTCCTATTCAGTGGCCAGTCTGGGTAAAACATCAGTGTTCAGGGAATAAATAATCAGGCTGACAGGACTTAGTTTAAATCCCAAGTTCAATTGCTATACAGTGTACCGACCAATGAGTAGGCCTTGGCTTCCAGTGTCAGGAAATACAATTTCAAAGTCGGCAGAAATTGGCTGTGGGTCTCATAACCCCAGTGTGACACAATATTCTCATCCTAGAAGCCAAGTTGTAAGCTTTTCTAGGATCCATAAAGCACATGTCTACTCCCTATGAAGAGCTTCAGCTCTTTCTGAGAGTCTGCTGAAGTTCCGATCTGAAAGAATGCCATCTTTACAGAAACCCC